TTACTCAACTCCTTTTCAACAATAAACTGAGAAAAATTCAAAAATATACAAAAGAAAATTAAAAAAATCAAAACCCCATATCGTTCACTACACACAATTTTTTCTTTTCCCCTTTCTCCCAAAAAGAGGGGAAAAAAACAAAAACACAAAAAGGGTTTCTGCCAAGTAATTTGCACTCAAAACACACCCTAATATACATTAGATTGGGCTCAAGTTGAAGCCAGATAACATGATAAGAAACTACTACCAAAGCCGTCTTTTAAAGCTTCGGGTGGCAGTCTGGTAAGTACGAACCAGCAAACCAGCTCCAATTCCAACTCCGAGGCAAATGCCAAGGCCTATTCCAACACCAACCCTGACGCCTGCATTGAACCACGTAAGCTCCCCATCTTCACTCCAGTACAAGTTATCATAGATTTCATCACTTTCTGGTTTATAATTTCTGTATTCCGCAACCTGAAAAGGCAAAAGGGAAATATTTCTGAGCAAATGCATATTATAATCATAAACGCCAGTGAATGATAATGCCAACTCTTCCAACAAAAATTGGAGTAAACGAAATACTACAAAGAGAGTCTGACAAACATGCTTTGTGAAACAAAGCATGAATATGGTGACATAAGGCTAGCAGTCATGCATCAGATGCGGTATGAAATGGTTTATCACAAGTTTGTATAACATTTGACACAAACAACAAACCAAGCCTTGTTCCAATAAATTTGGGGTGGGCTACGTGACTCCTTTTTCTCTACGTACTACTTGAAGGTTCAAAGCAACTACAGTAGACCATATTTGTTGGGTGTTTTTCTCAGTATTCTAATTTGTTCTACTGAAATAACATCATTGTTATAACATGAGCCTTTTTCAAAGCATGTTTGGAAAGTGTTTATAAATGATTTATATTATAAATAGACAGAAATGAGTGGTGGTTAAGTGATGAGTTTATGGGTCCCTCAAAATATGTGGATAAAAAGTGGCTTGAGTGTCTATTGTCTAAAACATGATCCAGACATAGGCCTGTTTACACATGACATGACCCAAACATTTTCTGTATGAGGAAATATGTGGCTTGAAAGGAGGGATTGCAATGGCATAAACGTGTATATCAAAGATGAGATAATAAGAAGAAAAATAACTGTCGATAAAGTTAGAGTCCGTGTCAGACATGTTGAACATCAACACTATTCGAAAACTATACTACACTCCTTTGACGGTATTGAAAAATTAATCTTTGATTAGGCACTCGTCGAAACGCGTTTCGTGCACACCTTCGAGCACTCCTCATGCGGTCATTCTTGACTTCAGCTTGTTGAAGACTCAATTTAAATGAATATTATGTCTCCTTTGTAATAACTTAAGCTTTTAGAGTAAGGTAGTTTGACATGGAATCAGGGCATACAAAGAAATCGAGGTCAAGTCTTGCCACCACATATTTCATGTCCTTAAAATATATATCCTAGTGAGAGTTGTAAAAGGCGCCTACCTTTTAGAATATCATCACATACATTGACAAAAAGGGTTCAATTTTATGTAGAATAACATCTCATAAGAGGTAGGACATAATTTCATACATTTGCCTAGTTTCTGAAATCACGTGAATCTTCAAAAGAGCAACAAACCCAGTAGCAACTAAAATAATCTTGGTTTAATTCAAACTCATTTTTACTGATGATGGTTCTTTAAAAAGATTGCCTGGTACATTTTCTAGAATTTCTAAATATTCCAATTATAATGGTAGTCCTACTCAGTTAACTTGTTCTAGGTATCAACAAATCCTCTCTCTGGGCGTGCATGCACGTGCTAACATATTCCATTAGCCTCATGTCAATCTCTCACAAAGTGCCATGCAAGCCATGTAAGCAGCCGTAGGATATGGAGAAAAGAGACACCAGCATGTTTGGCTAAGTTCGAAAGTTACTTTTAAGTCACTCTTTTTGTTAAACTTGATTGAGATTTTTTTAAGTCACTTTTCTTCGGTTTTCAGTACACAGCTCTCTTTTTTTGATTTACTAACAATCAAAAAAAGTTTTATATTCTTGAGAAACACGCTGTAGTCCTTTTCAGCACACAAAGACTTGGTCTTTCAATAATGATGTTTCCCGGAAGAAATTGTAAGTACTTCAGAATTTTAATGAAAGATGCCTCCAGCCAGATAAGTTATAGAATAAGGGATAACATGTGCAGAATGCTAAGCACCCGTTTGGCATGGCTTTTGCTTTTGCTTCTTGTAAAAGAGCTTTTGGAGAAAGCTAACTTAAATTTTGTTTGGAAACTAATTTTTAAAAAAGTTTCCTATTTTTGAAGTGTTTTTAATGAAAACTACATTATAACAACTTCCTCTAAAAATCTCTTTTAACTAGAAAAAATATTTTCATAAAATTAGCCAAAAGGGTCCAAAAGCAGTTTTTGGATCTCATAAGCTCATTTTTTACTTTTCAAAAGCCATGCCAAACGGCTCTTGAGAATATGGATAATACCAAAAAAAAAAAAAGGCAAAAGTGGAGATCGTTCTATTGCTTTATACTCTCCGTCTGCCCATATCCCGTAGAATGTCTAGGATAAGACTCATCTTCTAGTCTAAGATTCAATTCCCAACCGAAATGGGCCTTTTCCCATAAAAAAAAGTGTTCATAAAGCAAGCATACAGCCAACAATGGAAGGATGAGATTACCAGAAGGAGGTCCCATGCTCATGCATTGCTTTCTCGTAGTACAGACACTTCAATTAGGGGTAGCGTGTCCATGTCTGACACGAGTCGATACCGACACTTCTCGGATACTCTACCGTAATCATTTTTCTTTTTATATTAGAAATATTATATATTGTTAATTCAAAAATTATTAGCAAGTAACAAATAGGTACTCATTTTTAAAAAATTTTAACGAGAAAAATTAATAAGTATAAAACTAAATTTACGCCATATAAATGAAAATTTTT